AGGGAGGGGGGGAGGGAGGGAGGGAAGGAGGCGGGGAAGGAAGGATAAGGGAAGAGGAATGGCACAACTACAATTCTCGATAGGAAAGCTAGGAAGTCTCTCATAGTTGCTTGGATGGCTGCTCTTCGACCCTCTTTTCCGTGCTGCCCAATCCCCTTTCCCCGCCTATATCCTCTCCACCTGTGCACTCAATGTCGCTTCCCATCCTTCCTCGCGCCTCCCCCATCCCTTTCCCCTTCCCGCATGCAGCTGCTCATGCGCTGGTTCAAGCTGACGGTAGAGACCTTCGAAAGCACGACGAACCCGCCCAACGGCTCTTTTGTCGTGATGACGCGCAAGGAGGGGCCGAGGGGAGGACGCTCCGGGGGGGGAGTCTACGAAATGGCGCCCGAATCGGCTGCCTTGATCTCGTTAAGGTAGGGCGTGGGTGTGAAGGAGGGTGATAGGGTGAGTGAGGATAGTGTTTGCAACTTGGGGGGGTAATTGGTCGGGCGTGCTGCCTATCAACTCCTTTCTTTCCGGTTCCATCTCCTACAGCTGTGACTCCGTGCCCGTGGGCGCCTCCATCATGACCCCGTGCAGCAATTTCGAGGACAACACCGGCGGAGAGCAAAAGGATGGGGGAGAGGAAAGGGTAATGACACCTCTGTCGAATGCCGTTGAGCGACTCTCAATCGACGCCAATGGGATTTCCGAGGCTGAAGCCAGACCTAGTTAATAATAAGGCGTTGATGACAAAATCTGCAAATGAAAAGTACACATTCGATCACATATTCGATCATGGAATGAACTTAAGTCTCGCTCTCAAACGACGAGATGTTCCGGTGTCAATACTTTCGTCATTTATTACTTTTTGACATCGTTACCTCCTGTCCCCACTGCACCCCGCAATCGCTTCTCCAGCGCCTTCTGCCGTCGACGTTCTTCCTCCGCCTCCTCCCGCATCACAATGTGATGATGGAATCTGACAATGGGAAGACAACAGGTGAAATGTTTCTCGTCATATTTTTACATCTTCCCCTCATCTGAAACCCCCTTTACCCGATCTCATTCCTTGCGGAGACGTCGGGTTACATCAACTCTCTAACGCCGCTCATTCCTCTTCTTGAGATACATTTGATTTCATGTAGTTAACTCCGTGCTTACTTCTGTTACTGACCTGTCCCTCAGCACCCATGCTCCATAGAGGGCAAACACGCCGACAACAGGAACCACTTGCTTCCACGGCGGGGGCATTACTTCCACTCAGCTGTACCGAATAAATCAGGGAAGTTGAGGAAAAATCAAATGTGGGAGAGAGGTGATCGACTGTGTTATGTACATCGCTGTCAGCAAAGGGAATTGTCTGTCAAAACCTTTTTCGACACAAGTCGACGTCAAGGAATGGCGCGATAGTTTTGAAGGCGAATTAAGCGAATGGAACCACAGGAGACATCAAATAGGTTCGATGCTCTCTTTCTCCGAGGAATTATCCAGCCGCCGTGTGCTCGTGACACGTTTCTGCCGCGTTCATCCCTGAATTTGTATGCATGAAACTTATTGAGCATACATTGTGATCCTACGTGCGATAAGTTCTCCTCGCACGGTAAGACTTGAAAATGTTTTGGTGCTTACGCTTAACCTCCCCACCCCACTTGCAGTCAACGTACCCGTTAAAGCGATCTCATTGGAATGCGCTGGTGGCACCGTTTACTCACTTACTTGAGCAGCAGGCGACGAAACACTACCTCACACTGTAGTTATATGACACAGGAGCAGTCACCCCTTTCACCCTCCATTTCCATTCCGGCTTTTGTGCTTCAAGAGCGAGGCATTTTATCGCCGGCCAAGCCCCCTCCTTTGGAAAGCCAATCTATGAATTTTGATGAAAGAAAATCCAATTACGAAGAATGTGACAAAGAAACTTCAGGAACTAGAGAGGAGATTTCAGATGGAACTTTATCGTCGGTGGAAGGAGAGCAGGCACAGAACAGCACTGGTGTTCCGTTACGCGCTCCTTCCTTTTCCACAACTCCAAGCGTCCATTCAGTCATGTCAGACATCCGAAGCCGCCTACACCACCTTCCCAGATGGAAATACAGATTTCTATGCGCAAGCTTGTTGTTGGCTGTCATCCTTTTGGGTCTACTTCTCTGCGTATCGATTGTGTACGGCTTCGGCTTGAAATACGTCCATTTGTCCGTCACCGGAACGACGCCGCTGGATCCAAACTTAGTAGATGCGGAAGGAAATGCGCCAATGCGAGCAACCATCAGTCTTGACAATCCCAATTCTTTCCCTATCACCGCCTCAGCAAGTGAAGTAGTTCTATCATACATGAATAGGACCGACGGGAGTCAACAGTACACTCCCCTGGCATCCGCCCCTCTGCCCCGCATTCAACTGCATGCCCGTCACAAAGATTGCATGCTTACCACTGATTTTGTCTTGGCGCATTTGCCCACAAAGCCTGAGGGAAAAGCAATCATGGGGGCGGTCCTCCAGGGCCGGGCCACATTCCTTAATGCGGCCGCCACCCTGCGGCTCCACGTGCGCGCCTTGGGCTTCATACGGATTGTCCGCAGGTTCGAAATAGACTGTTCTGTCGCAACGTTATGGGGGGAGCCAACTAAGGCAGATGGTAGCAAAGACACGGTCTCGGATTGCTTTGGGGCTTTTGTGTAGAGCCACATTGAAGAAACATTAGAGCTCCTCAGACGGCTCAATGAAAAGTAATGTAAATCGGCCTTATGAAGCGTACTTTAACTTTAATCTTGTCTGACCCACAATGGGCCTCGCTTC